ATGGATTAGGTCAACTGAAAAAAATTCAATGACCTCATTAGGATACAAATCCATGACCTTCCAGCTTGTAGGATAGCTCAGTTGATATAGTGACTGGCTATGGGCTGGACGACCGAGGGGTTGGGGTTTGAGTCCTGGTATGGTCAAGAATCTTCTCTTCTCCATATTGTCCAGACTGGTTCTTGGACTCATCCAACCTCCAATCCAATGGATACTTGGAGCTTTTTCCCTGGGGGGGGAGTGGCAGGGGCATGAAGCTGACCACTCACCTCCAACTAGGGCCAAGGTCAGGTAAATATGGATCTACATATTCACTCCCCCATCCACCTTCATGGCATACTGTTTAATTAGTTAAGAACAGGGACAAGTTATACAAGAAAAAGAAGTGCTCCTCATGTAGTGTATGGCAAATGGCAGTCTGATAGAGGCCTGTTTCATATGTAATTCAACAAGAGCTAGTTGATGGAATAGCACGTAAAGCATCCAACATTAACTCTTCATTCTGTACACTGTTTTTTGCCACAGCCAATGTGTCCTGGTGACATAAATCCGCCTGCTCTCCTCAAGCTGCAGTGTACCATTCCAAACAAACTGGTATACCCTTGATGCAGCTCTAGCATTTCCATTCTGAAAACTGTACACAAAATGCATACTGGCATACTCTGCTATCATAGATTATGCCATCTTATTTCACTGCTTCCATTTATTTTCTGAGCCATAAATGAATGGAGTAAGACATGTAACTTGTGACATTATAAAGGCTTTACTATGTGAACAAATATATCAAGACTAAAAGGCTGAAATAGCATAATTCTTCTTTGAATCATCTTGTATATAGAAGATAAATGGCTGTCCGTTCCATCTATCGCATCATACACGCACTGAAGAAAATATGAGGGTTGGAACTTTAATAGTGGCAACTATTTATTTACAACTGATACAAAACAGATGCATGTTTCGAAGTTTTACTGTCCTTCAATGCAGTCACCAGCATTGCGTACAATCCTCTGCCACCGATGTGGAAGTCGTAGGATACCTTTAGCAGTGCCTGTTGTGTTGATAGTTCACATGAAGCGGTCTACTGCCTGAAGAATCTCTTGAACAGTTCTGAAGCGAATGTCATGAAGTGGTTCTTTCATCTTAGGAATTAAGTCGAAGTCACAAGGGCTTCAGTCCGGGGAGTATGGTGGATGGTACAGCACTTCCCAGCCCCATCGATCGAACAAATCAGCCACAGCTTGCGCTGAATGCGGCTGAGCATTGTCCTGCAAAATGATGGGTGGGTTCTGCAGAGCGTGTCGCTGCTTATTTCTCAAAGCTGGTCGCAGGTAGTGTTCCAAAAATGAACAGTAATACTGCACATAGACGTTCTGCTGTCGGGGATCACTCTCCAGTAATGCAGAAAGAGCATACACTTCTTCTTCACTGACACTAGGATGACCTGGCCGACACATGTCTGCCACATTTTGGTGTCCCTCGTTGAAGGCTTTTACCCACCTCGCCACTGTTCTGTAAGGCAATTCGGATTCCCTGCAAGCCTCTTGAAGACCTTGTTGACACTGTCATGCTGTACAGCCTCTGGCACATTCAATCTTTATCCAACTCCACTGTTCCTGTTTCGAAAACATCGTGACAACACTACATTAGACCGCCAGCTAAGAAGAGGCTCTGTTCTTCTCATCACTGCGCACGCATGTGATGTGGGAAGGGAGAGTCCATTAGCTCTGAGGTAAGGTAGGTATGTAACTAACGTGTGGTATAAGTGACATTATTTGGTTCCGCCGCGTGGCATCTCTAGAGCAATGTTGCCACTATTAAAGTTCCAACCCTCGTATGTAAATAAGAAACATTTATTTTCACGGGTATTCTTTAGAACATCACTGAATTAAAAAAAATACACAAAGAAAAAGTATGCAACTGATCCCTCAAGTTTTGTTGGCTAAACTTCATATTTCTAAAGCAAACTGGAAACTGATATACAGAGTAATTCATAAGTCTCTTCAGGATTTCTGAACTCGGCAGTAAAAGTAAAGTAAAGCTATCCCTGTACCAGGCCGTGAAGGCCCATAGGGTTGTGAGACGTTGAGGGTCCCACATTATCTAGACCAGGGGTCTCCAAACTTTTCGAACGGTGGGCCACATTAGGTAATTCAGCACTTTCAACGGGCCGGATAAAATGAGAAATTAATAACTCTAGGTATATGAGTTTTATCGAAAGCACAGAATTTCATAAAATAAATACAAAGTACGTGAGAATAAATTATCGTATATTAATGACAACAGACAGTAGCAGCAAATGCTCATATTTTCATCACAAATTTTAATAAAACAATTAATGTGAATGATGGAACTCTTTCTGCATTCTTAAAATCTGATTAAATTGAGGTTCAAACTTTGAAATGCTAATCACAAGTAGCGACTTTAAATGTTCATCGGATAAATTTGCCCTGTATTTCGACTTGATGTTCTTCATCTGGGAAAAATTTTGTTCACACAGATATGTCGCCAAAAAATGGAGATAAATTTACAAGCAAATTTCTTTAAATTTGGAAATTACTCAGAGTTCAGAAATTTATAAAATTCGATCAAACTTCTTTCCCTGTATTTGTCTTTAATATATGATAATTTTCCTGAAGTTCAATAATTTCCATTTTAATTTGACTTAGGACATCTGGAGCATCACAGTCAAATGGATTTTGAAACAATCTAATTTCCTGAGCACTG